TTCAAGAACCCACTCCTTGCAGAGAGGATCGGTCTTGCTCGCAAACAGGCTGCCATCCTCAAGAACACGGACTTTGCTCTTCTCGTTAATGAAAGCCCGTTCCACTCCCTGAACACCACGGAGAGTGAGAGTATCCAGAAGATGCTGCTCCAATTTCTTGAGAGTGACATCGTATTCGATGTCCTCATCGTCCTCGTCTTCCTTGTAATCCTGGATTTGACGGATACGGATGACCTGCTCATCGGCGTTGTTGTCACTGAAAATAACCGCGATATCCTTGGGATAAGCCTGCTTAATCTTGGCAGCAACATCCTGCACTGTAAGACCCTTATCCAGGAGCTTTGGCCGACTAAGAATGATACGAAGCAACCACTTGGACTGTCGAGAGGAGGCGTCTGTGACATCCTCCGGAATGATGAAGTAGGACTCGACCATATCCCTATCATTTTCAATGACCGTGGTCTGGATGTCCGGGTCGTAGTAGATCTCAGTGGCTTCTGTAACGGATCTCAGGCTGGTATGCTCAACAACGCTTCGCAACTGTTTAGCAGATTCCTTATCGTGGCATTTGTGGGGCAACTGGTAAACAGTCATAGATGGCGTCTTGATGTTGGTAGCAACGTTGAGAATTTCCTTGAGACGAGGAACACCGAGGGTGACGTTCTTCGACGAGACACCAGCAAAGTGGAACGTGTTCAAGGTCATCTGTGTAGCGGGCTCACCAATAGACTGAGCGGCAAGCACACCAACCATTTCACCTGGGTTAGCACCAGCCTTAGCAAATCTGCTCTCAATGGCACCGATGACATGCTGGAAGGCAAGCTTGTTCATCGAGTACTCGGTGACAAGTCTGCGAAAAGCGAGGCGACTGCGAAGCTGTGCCTTGAACAACAGGGTAGCATTCTCCTGCGCCTCGCGCGAGATCGGATCGTCGCCGCGCACAACTAACAGACGATCGAGCAGAGAGCGGACTTGAGGGATGACTTCAGCAGGATGCAAGTCGCTGATGGCCCCTTCACGTATCCGGAATGTGCTCCTGGCAGTTTCAAGGATTCTCTGTACATTGATGGGAAGTTGCATCATCTCATCGTCTTCTTTCGCGACAGTGCGAAGGAATGCCCGGTCTTTGAGCAATTGCTCCCATTCCTCGTCGAGATATCTCTGGACTTCGACATCGCCAGCAATTTCATGAGCCTGTTCCAAGACTTCGGGTCCCAGGCTCCTCTCGGGATCCATGAGATCGACACGGAATCGCTCTCTGAACTTCTCATCAGAGCATCTGATAATGTCGACCCGCTGGTTTTCGATGTGAGCACCATCAAGACCGTCTTCTCCGTAGATGAATTGTATCACATCACCCAAAGAGTTTCTGACAGTGCCATCATACTTAACCATGACCTCCTCCAAGGCCTTAACCAGCTTTCGCTGGATATAACCAGTTTCGGCAGTCTTGACAGCAGTATCGATCAGACCTTCTCGACCGGCCATGGCATGGAAGAAGAATTCAGTTGGGGTTAGACCACGCAGATAAGAGTTTTCCACAAATCCGCGAGATTCCGGAGAGTAGTCATCCTTGGTGAAATGGGGGAGAGTACGATATTTGAATCCGAAAGGAATACGCTTGCCTTCGACGGACTGCTGACCCACAACAGCAGTCATCTGAGAGATATTGATCGTCGAACCCTTAGATCCAGACCGGGCCATCTGGATGGCATTGTTGAGATCCTTCAAACTCTTCTCAGTCTCACTACCAGCTTCGTCACGGGCATTGTTGAGCGCACGTGAAACCTTGCTCTCGAAGGTCTCTCGAACGTTCATACCAGGCAGGGGCTCCAGGGTATTCTCCGTGGCACTTGCTGTGATAGCCTCGACTTCCTTCTTCCTCTCCCGCACACAATTCTCGATTCGCTGAATCGTTATCGCGTCGGGAATGGTGTCCCCAATACCTATACTGAAACCATTGTGCAGCAGCCAGTAGTTGACAATGGTTTGTGCACCGTTGAAGAAAGCCACTGCAGTATCCGGCCCGTACTCATTGAAGATTGTGTGAATGACACCACCACCGCTAGCACCAACAGTCTTCTTGGAGAACATGCCATACATCAATTGTCCGCCGTGGATAAGCAGACCACCGTCTGTCAAAGGCGAGAACTTCTCTGCCAGACTAGAGTTATCTTTCTCCACACGCAACAAATTGAGCCCAGATGGAAGAGCCATGCTTATCATCTGCTTTCCAGTCCACCTAGGTCTAGGCTTTAAGATGGCTGGCGGAGGGATAACTCCATCCCAGTCTGGAACCCACAACATAATGTTCATGACCTGTTCTTTGGTCAAGAAGACATCACGTCGGCAAATCTTGTAAATACCGCAGAGAGTATCTTGCACGATACCCATAAGCGGACCGTTACGCTGGGGAGACACGATATTCAAAGGGACCAAGGCGAGCTGCTTCAACTCTGCGCGAGACTCCTCGCTCTGAGGAACGTGCAAGTTCATCTCGTCACCGTCGAAATCAGCGTTGTATGGGGTGGTGACAGACAGGTTCAGTCGGAAAGTCGAATACGGCATAACACGGACACGATGACCCATCATAGACTCCTTGTGAAGGGAAGGTTGACGATTGAACAGAATGATATCGCCATCCATAAGATGCCGCTCGACTTTCCACCCATACAGCAGTTGTTGACCTCCAGCTCTTCGGGCATGGCGTAAGTCAATACGTTCCCCATTGTCCCGCACGATATACCTCGCTCCAGGATGTTCGTTGGGGCCATTGGCAACAAGCTGCTGCAGCTTCTCGATGTTGTATGGAGTGACAACTTCGGGGTAGGTCAGAGTCCGAGCAATACTTCTTGGGACACCGACCTCGTCAAGAGACAGGTTCGGATCACCAGTAATGACAGTACGAGCCGAGAAATCGACACGCTTGCCCATCAAGTTCTGTCTAAGACGACCCTCCTTACCCTTCAGACGGCTTCGGATAGCCTTGACAGGTCGGTTCGACTTCTGCATGGCCTTCGGCTGACCAGCGATATCGTTATCCATGTAGGTGGCAACGTGGTACTGCAAAAGAGACTCAAACTCGCGTACGACGTGTTCAGGAGCGCCTTCCTGTTCGCATCGCTGGACATTCTGGTTCGCTCGGATAATCTCAGCCAACTTATAAGTCAGATCATCCTCACCGCGTTGGCCGCTGGTGCTGCCACCGACGAGAACACTGGGACGGACAGGAGGAGGGGGGACAGGCAGAACAGTGATGATCATCCATTCAGGACGAGCATAGTCATTACTCAAGCCCATTATGCGAACATCTTCGTGGGAAATGTTGCGGAAGACATTCAAGGCCATCTGAGGAGTAATGACTTTCTTTTCCGGCTGCTGCATCTCATCCTCATCCATCATGCTCTTGTTGGGCTTCCATGTTCCAACTAAAGTGATACCCTCTTTACGAATCGTGGGCTGGGCGTTACCGCAACCACCATGCCTCCGGAGAGGCTTGGAGCTCTCTTTCGAAAACGGCTCGTCCTCGTCCGGCGGAGGGTCTGCTTCACAGATCAACACATCCTTGGACAGTCTCCAGATATGGTCGAAACGTCGCTTGGGATCTCTCATGCGTAGGGCTTCTAAGAATTTGGAGTCGGACTGGTCTCATGTCAGCATATCATGCCATCTAGGATTTGCCATCCCAATTAGGGATGACTAACCGTATCGGCTTTGATCTTGCCACAGTTGTGGCAGACAGTCTCAAGGAGTTTCTTGACTTTGGTCAAGAAACCTAGTGCATCGTTGTTAGCTTCCCGCATCTGCAACAGATTCGTAGACATCTAACATACCGATGTGAAAGACTGGAGTCGCAAGCTCGATGTGTCCGAAGTGCCCAGGACACTCCTTTTGACCCTCCTCGCAGGTCTCGCAGTTCCATTGCCGGTCAATTGTACCCAAGCGAGGATCGTTCAAACCCTTTGTCCGCGGCCGCATCCGTTGTTCGTCCTGTTTATCATTTCGACCTTGTCAGTCATCCCACACCGCAAACCCCAGTCAACAGAAGCCAAGGTGTACGAACCATCGTCTCAGGATACTCAACATGCACCACGCTCATCCTTTTGATCTCCTCTGGAGAGAAGAGACCAAACTGGATCTCCTTGATGGTGCGCAGAGGCGCCTTGGAGTAGGGAAAGTAAACGTTCGACATGGTGGCGATCGGTCGTCGGATGTAGATGTGATACTCGAGGAAACGAAGGCGGTTCAGCGATCAACGAAACGAACGATCCGAGTCGCACAAAGCAAAATCAAGCGATACTAGAGCGTTAACAATCAAGCGTGCTCGAGCGACGATGAAAGTGTTTGCAAGCAGCTGGCCGGCTGAGGCCTTTGGCAGCCCTTGCCACGAGGGCGCCTGCGACCTGGTGTCCCCGAATCCGCGAAACTCGGGGGCGAAAGGGCGGAAAAAGGTATATCTCGATCGAGTACGTCGAGGTCAATAGCCCGATGAGAGACAGGTAGATATCGCGATACGAGACGCGATGATCTGGAGGGTTGAGGGATGGGCAAGCAGCGTGTCGAGGTGATGAAAGGGAGACGGTTGGATGTCACTTCAGTTTGGATGGGGCACGAGTTTTCTTGAGCCGCAGCCAGCAGCACTAGCGCGGTGCCGGCTAAAAGTCCGCAGCGCTAACCCATAGAAACTTGGCAGATGGCCTAAAAATCAGATTTGTAATACAAAATCATCCAATCATGCTGTCTATATGATAGTACCTATGAGTTCTGCTGATGGTTTTTAAATTGCAACTGACCGCCCAGCGACTGCCATCTCATATAACAATCCAGCCAAAAGACTGATGCACTTCTTATCGCCGACTGTGCTCGCAGATTACCTAGCCACCAAGGGTGCTGGATGAATCCTTCACAATTATCCCTCCTAGCCTCTCTTCAGGCTGGGAACTCTTCTCCCCTTAACTGCAATCACTCTGTTCTCACTTGAAACGCGCTAGTAAACCACAATGAATTTGTCGCTCATTGATCCTTTCGTCCTCGCCCAGGACTATCCCGACACCTTGACAGAGAAATTGAGTCCGTCGGCGCCCCCTTCACTTTCTCAATGCGACGTGGCTAACGAGTGACAGGAAGCGGGCACGCGACATGTTTGCGCTTCAATCGCAAAGGAGATTACCTTGCTTCCGGACGAGTGCGTACAACCCTCTTCCTTTCGGGCCCACCCATCTCGAATCCTCATTGACACTCCATCCTATAGGTGGACGGTACTGTGGTTATCTTTGATATAGAGACAAATGGAGTTGCGCGGAAACTCCGCGGTCATACCAGACAGATCCAATCTCTCAGGTGGGAATTAGTCCCCTGCGGAGTCGACTGAGAGAATGTCGTGCTGATAAGAAAGAATAGCTGGTCTAGAGATGGACGATACCTCCTCAGCTCCTCGCAGGACTGGAAATGCATTCTGTGGGACATGAAAGATGGTTCCCGCGTGCGCACCGTCCGATTTGAGGCGCCTGTGTATATTGCAGAACTACATCCTTTTAACCAGTGAGTGTCCCTTGCTCCTGCAGGGCTTAGAGTCCTGTCTAAAGCATGTCCGATGGTCGCAGTTTACTCTTCGTCGCTTCACTTTTCGAAGACCAACCAGTCCTCGTGGATATCTCGTCCCCCAAACCGATCAAGCGAATACTCCCCTCCGCTCCATTTCGTCCTCCGCCATCCGCCTCAGAAGAAATCGACCCCGCCTTGGCGGCCAAACAAGCCGCGCAAGACGCAAAGCACTCGACATGCGTCACAATCTTCTCGGCATTTGGAAATCACATCATATCAGGCACATCCAAGGGTTGGATCAACATCATCGAGACGCAGACCTGTACTACCATCCATTCCACCCGGCTCTGTAACGGCGTGGTCATTCTCCTTCGTTTGGCAAGTAACGGCCGGGACTTACTCATCAACAGTTCCGATCGCGTAATCCGAACCATCATCATGCCAGACCTGTCGCAACTAGGGATCGACCTCGAGCCCACGAACATCAAACTACAAGTGGAACATAAGTTTCAGGACGTGGTAAACCGACTGAGCTGGAACCACGTCACCTTCTCCTCTACAGGCGAATTCGTGACTGCCTCCACCTTTATGAATCCTGACATCTACGTCTGGGAGCGAAGCCACGGCTCCCTCGTCAAGATCCTCGAGGGTCCGCGTGAAGAGCTCGGCGTTGTCGAATGGCACCCGTCGCGCCCCATGGTAGTCGCCTGTGGCTTAGAATCCGGCTGCATATACACGTGGTCCATCGTCACGCCACAGAAGTGGTCCGCTCTGGCGCCGGATTTCGGCGAAGTCGAAGAAAATGTCGAGTACATGGAACGGGAGGATGAATTCGACATCCACCCGGCGGAGGAAATCCACCAACGGCGTCTCGACCAGGAAGATGAAGTCCCCGATGTCCTCACCATCGAACCGCTAAAGAGTGGCGCGGACGGCGAGATGGAAGCTTTCCGCATGCCGGTCCTCCTGGACATTTCTGACAGCGAAAGTGAGGAGGACATAGTGGCGGTAGGGCCGGGGACGATGCGTCGCCGGAGTCCCGGTGCAGGTCGGGAGTGGATGAACTCCAATGGAGACGGAGACAAAGAAAGTGGGAAGCCCGGTGCTGGTAGAGGTCAAAGGGGCCGGCGGAAATAAGCCGATCTACCCTTTTTTTTTCTTTTTTTTTTTTTTTTTTTTTTTTTTTTTGAAACACCCATGGT